TATGCAGCTAGGTAGCAGAGGGATGAGGGGCTTAGGGAGCCAAGCCCTGGGTGGTTCTGGGTGTGGAGGGCCCCTGGTTCCTTGACCTGGAAGTTCTGGGCCCTGAGTACAGTGCCTTTGGCTAACAGGAAACAGAAGAAATCTTGGCTGATGTGCTCAAGGTGGAAGTCTTCAGACAGACAGTGGCTGACCAGGTGCTAGTAGGAAGCTACTGTGTCTTCAGCAATCAGGGAGGACTGGTACATCCCAAGACTTCAATTGAAGACCAAGATGAGCTGTCTTCTCTTCTTCAGGTCCCCCTTGTGGTAAGCATTCCTTTCTCTGATCTCTGTCTCCTCCTGAGGCAGATCCTTTGCCTAGCGTTAAGGATCTGAGTTATTATCTGTTACAGTTTGCGATTGGGGATGCAGGTCAAGGAGTGGGGTTTGGGGATAGTCCTCGCCAGGGAGTGGCAGGACTGTGGCTTTTGGTGCCATGATCCACACTGAGCTCTCCCTTGGCAGGCAGGCACTGTGAACCGAGGCAGCGAGGTAATTGCCGCCGGGATGGTGGTGAATGACTGGTGTGCCTTCTGTGGCCTGGACACAACCAGCACAGAGCTGTCAGTGGTGGAGAGTGTCTTCAAGCTGAATGAAGCCCAGCCTAGCACCATTGCGACCAGCATGCGGGATTCCCTCATTGACAGGTATCTGGGTCTCTTTTCTGCCTTTGGAGGGTAGAGGAGGGAGATGCCACCTAGGATGGGTCCATACTGCATTCATACCGGTAGGTCCTTGTGTGTGAGGGCACACCTGTGCATTGCTGAGCAGTCACAGGGTACAGCCAGTGAGCATTGCCTGAGTATCTGCTCATCCCCATCTTTGAAGACTCAGCTCAGTGTCCCCTCTCTGGGCAAAGCTTCCCTCTGGTCTGTCTTATTTTCTCACTGACCACATTGTTTTGTAGTTTGTGTGTGCTTGTGTGTCGGTGTCCCCAGCCAGCAGCCCAGAGCCTGAGACCAAAAAGAGCTGTTTGCAGAGGGAAGGAGGGGAAGTTGCTCTTAGAAACTAAGGAGACCCTAAAGGACTTGTTGGGGGTGGGGATTGCATCAAAATCACAATTGTCTGGATTTTTGTGGGTTTAAGAAAAAAGTGGGATCTTGGGCCTAACCCTGGAGGTTCTGGGGTATGAGGCTCTGGAATCTCTTTTTCCTTTGGAGGAGTAGCAGGTGCTGATATTCACCTTTCCCCATTGAGGATTCTTCTCAAGGCATGCCACACCCAAGTATCCCAGCAATCTTTATGAGGATAGAAACCCCATATGCCCATAGTAGAGCCAAGTACCCAGTGACAGACCCCCTACTTTACAACAGGCAAAATTACCCTTCATTCTCCCTTCTTCATTCATTTGTTCATCTGATGTTCACTGAGCCCTGTCGATAGGGCTCCATGTAGGATAGGCAGGCAACTTAGCCCTGTGTCCTGCCTCTAGGAGCTCACAGTGTAGCCGAGAAGTTGTAGAGGCCACACATAACTCTTCACTGCCTTCAAAGAAGAGATAAAAGGTGCCTTAGGTGGCTCAGGAAGCTCCAGTGAAACACTCTGGTATCCCGGAAGGTTTTGTCGGGGGCAAATCGTTTAGTCTGGGCCCAGGTGAATGAATAGACATTTGAATATGCAGAGATGGAGTAGGAAAGCACTTCAGACAGACCCAGAGGTGGGAAAGTATGGAGAGTGTGAAAGGGCAAGGTGATATTGTCAGAGTGTCAAAGACCCTCAATTCCCATGTCAAGAAGTTTTGACTGTAGGCCTGTGATTTTGACCTTTAGTCTATGTTGGGATGCTTGTTAATATAGATTCCTGGCATCACCCCCCAGTTACCAATTCACTCTGGAGTGAGACCCAACCATGTTTGGTTTATTTTAATAAGTTTCTCTGGGTAATTCTGATGGGGAATCAGAATTGAGAGAGTAGTTGAAAGGGTCTGAATAGGAAAGTGGTACAGTAGTTCTGTCATTTGTTCAGTAACTTTTTTTTGAACGTGCCAGAAAATCGTGATTTGGTGAATAAGATATACCCACCCTGCCCTTGTGGAACATAGAATCTTACAAAGAAGGCAGTACATACACAATCATTTAGTTAAAGGACAAAACAACAACAACAACACCTTTTAGCCTAAGAACAGAAAGAAATTTTTGCAATCTGATAATTGGTACCTACCAAGAAAACTATAGCAAATGTTGTATTTAATGGTAAAACTTCAGAAATTGCTCTTAAAGTCAGGCAGAATTGCCCACAGTGACCAGTACTGGTCAGTATTTTGGTGGTTCTTGCTTATGCAGTTAGGTAAGGAACAGAAATGGATACTGGAAAGGAAGAGCCAAAACTCATTATCCTTCTTTGGTTTTGAACCTGTTGAGTTTGAGGTGCCCATGAGAGCTGATAATGAAGGTGTCAGGTAGTTGATTAGAAGTATGTACTTTAGGGGCGCCTGGGTGACTCGGTTAAGTGTCCGACTTCAACTCAGGTCACGATCTCGCGGTCTGTGAGTTCGAGCCCCACGTCGGGCTCTGGGCTGATGGCTCAGAGCCTGGAGCCTGCTTCCGATTCTATGTCTTCCTCTCTGTCTGTCCCTCCCCTGTTCATGCTCTGTCTCAAAAATAAATAAATGTTACAAAAAAAATTTTTTTTAAAAAGTATGCACTTTAGTTTTATAATTGTACATGTATTTTATATCTCCTGTAATTTTTCTTTTGTTAAATGTTTATTTTTGAGAGAGAGTGAGAGACAGAACATGAGCAGGGGAGGGGCAGAGAGAGGGGGACACACAGATTCCGAAGCAGTCTCCAGGCTCTGAGCTGTCAGCCCAGAGCCCTATGCGGGGCACGAACTCACAAACCATGAGATCATGACCTGAGCTGTAGTCAGACACTTAACTGACTGAGCCACTGAGGCGCCCCTGTATACGTACTTATTACCTCCAGGAAGAATGTTCTGGCCTCATCCCTGCCACTGAGGGATTTGTGGTCTGGGCACATCTCTTCTCTTGTGAATCCCCTTACTCCCTTCTCTGATGTTTGCTGGACTTGAGTTCTGAGGCTCTGGTTTGTGATTGATAACAGTGAACAAATTGAGTTGAGTGGGGAAGGAGTTACTGTTAGTTTTTAAGCATTGAGAGTTCTGACTGGATTGTGACTCAAGGAAGCAGTGTAATCTGGAAAGGGCTCTGAATGTGGCTCTTCAGGGCTGAGCTGGAACAAAGGGGTGAGGGTGGAGGCAAGCATCTTAAGAATAAAGGGTGGGGTATGCTCTGAGAAGCACCTACTGACAGTGTTCCTTCTCTCTCTAGCCTCACCTGAGTTACCTTCCATTGCTGTTCTGCGGGTTCCTGCCTCTGGACTTTGGCTCCCTCTGCCCCACCCAGCCAGGCAGCCAGTTGGCAGAGAACTGACTGGGAGTGAGTGGCTGAATGCCCAGCTCTTCACCTGTGCCCATCTCCTGAATCTACAGTTACTTCAAACATCTGCCATGTTGTGCTGTCTGTCAGGCCTTAACGGCTCCTGACTGACCACTCTCTTTCCTGTACCACCCCCATTAAAAGGCAGCCTGGCTATTCTTGAATGTGTTGTTTGGGGGCCTCCACCTGCAACCCTCCTTCCCTAGCATTGTTCTGGGGGAAAGTGGGTAGGACACCCCCCCCCCCCCCCCCCCCCCAGTCTCACAATTTCCCACCCTCGTCCCGGGATCATCAGGATGGGGGTTGATGATTGTCCCAGGGCAAGAGGAGGAAGCACTCTCTACTGTAGTTCTAGCCTTTTCCATGCGACTTCAGCCTCCTACTTCTGGGGTTTAAGAGATGAGAATGTTCCAGCTCTCCTCTAGGCCCGAATGAGGACCTGTAAGGGGTCTGGAGCACCTGGCTTCAGGGCAGTCTTGTCTTCTTTGACCAAAGTGGATGGAGATTGCTGCCTGGTTGCCAGGTGCCATGGAGATTCTCAGAAAACTGGAAGGCGCCCTCCCTTAGCTACAGTGCCTGTGGAGCCAGGAAGCGTCTGGATGAGTCCTTTGTGGCTTGCTGGGGCGGCTCCTTCAGTCTCCTGCTGTGTGCGGGGCGGGGCCCCGCGATGTTGGAGCAGCATTGGCCAGTTACTGGTGGGTGGGGTCGGGTCCGCAACCCCGCAGCAGCGGCTAGGGGGCGGGGCCTGCGTGCGGTGAGGTCACGACGCCGGCTCCTCCCAGCGCAAGTACGCAGGCCGGCGGAGTGCAGTCGCCGGCTCTGGGACCTTGGAGACCCGTGGCTCTCGCGGTGAGAGAGGAGGGTCGGGCCGGGGCGTGGCGGGACGACCGGGTCGCGTGCAGCTGACCCGCATCTAACGGCTTCTCTTTGCAGACGATGGGTGCTCGGCTGAGCGGTGGCCAGGGCGCCCCAGAGCCCGTGCAGGCCCAGCCCCAGCCCCAACCCGGGGCGCCCGAGGCCCCTGAGCGGCCCCAGCCTGAACCCAGTCCCTGGGGGCCACTGGACGATGTGCGCTTCCTCATCACCTGCACCTCCTGGTACTGACTCGACACCCTCCGCAGTTACTGCCAGCTGCCAACTGTCGTTGTGCTGTTATGTTCCTCTCTTGTCGTCCTTTTCCAACCCCGGCGCCCAGGACAGGCTCGAAGAGTCGAGGAGATAGATCACGGAGGACTGGAAGGAGGTCTCGGCAGGGCCTCTTCGGCAGCCTCGCCATGGGGCACCGGCTCGCCTCTAGTTCCTTCCGAATTTGTTCGCTTCTTAGCCTGCACCCAAACCAGCTTAAACCTTCGTGCTCACCCCCACCCTACAGCTTCTCCAGCCGTCTGGGTTCTGGGGCAGCCCTCCCTGGCCCTGGCTTCCAGAACCAGGCCAGGACTCCTGGTAAGACCCCAAGACTGCTGACCTCACCTCCTCTCGTCTGTTCCTTATTGCTAAGAACCGGGCTGTTGCTTTTGTCCCTGGTTATGGCACCATGTGCCTTGGCTTCGGAGAAGACCTTGCCACAGTGACCCTCCCTGTACTTCTCC